TGGACCCAAGAAGGAACACACCAAGGCACATCATCATTACATTAGCCAAAATTAAAATGAAGGAGAGAGTCCTAGAAGCAGCAAGAGCTAAGGGGACAGTCACCTACAAAGGAGTCCCCATCAGACTGTCAGCCGATTTCTCAAAAGAGACCTTACAGGCAAGAAGGGGCTGGAAAGCAGTATTCCAAGTCATGAAAACCAAAGACCTACAACCAAGATTGCTCTATCCAGCAAAACTTTCATTTAGAATGGAAGGACAGATAAAGTGCTTCTCAGATAAGATCAAATTCAAGGAGTTCATTATCACCAAGCCCTTATTATATGAAATGTTAAAGGGACTTATCTAAGAAAAAGAAGTTAAAGAAATATGAACAGTGAAAGGACAGCAAACTCACAGTTATTAACAACCACACCTAAAACGAAAGCAAACTAAAAGGACAGCTAGATCAGGAGTGGAAACATAGAAATGAAGATCTCAAGGAGGGTTAGCAACAGGGGGAGGGGGAGGAGGAGAAGGGGGGAGAAGGTACAGAAAATAAGTAGCATAGACGGTAGATAGAAAATAGAGGGGGGGGCAAGAATAGCATGGGAAATATAGAATCTAAAGGACTTGAGACACATGGTCATAAACTAAAGGGGGGTAATGGTGGGGACGGGGGGTAGGGTGGAGGGGAATGAAGGGGGGAATAGAACAACTGTAACAGCATAATCAATAAAAAAATTAAAAAAAAAAACAATCACCCCTCCCCCACCCCTCTGCACAGCCTTATCTCACTGAATTGTTCTTTGTAGCATTTTCTGCCATGAAACTTACTAGATGTTTTTGCTCCTTCTTTGTCAACTATTCACCATCTATCTATTAAAATATAACGCCGTAGAGGACTTTATATTTCAATATATTCACAGTGCCTGGAGCAGTTTCTGGTACAAGACAAACTCAGTGAATGAATGAATGAATGGATGAGCTTTTACATGCTCTCAAGTAGTAGGAGTTGAGGTGACACTTCGACATAGCTAATGGTGGCATATATGGATGATAGTGACATCTAATACTCAATTTGAGGTGTAACTGTGTCGTAAAGTAATCTCCCTCCATCACCTGGAAACCTTCAGTAAAGGCTGGCTACACCCAGCATCTGGTAATAGTGGCGGCCCAAGGGGAAGAAAGGTCTTCCACCCCGGGCGCGGCAGGAGCCTGGGAGACCATGTGGACCTTAGGCGAGAGCCTGAAGCTATAGTATGGACATCGCAGAGAATGAGCTTCTTCTGGGAAATTCCCAGAGAACGCAGAGAGAACGCTGGACTTCCCACGGAACGTGAGATTGCGGTCCCTGTCCTTCTGCTGAGCAGGGCGCTCACGCAGCCGGCTGCATTTCCAAGGCTGGTGGGTTTCTAGATGAATCCCAAAGGTCCCTCCCTGGCTACCATCAATGGCTACATTATCTGGGAACCAAGTTCATTTCTGAGTCTGAAGACCTAAGGCGTGGGATTTCGATTCTGTTTCCGTAGGAGCACCTCATTCGGCCTTTGAAGGATCCCAAACCCCCAAGAAAGAAAGAGACTAAAAAGCAGAGAGTAAAAGTGTATCTCTACAACATCAAAACGTAACCAAACGCCTGTGGAAAATGTCCTTTAAGATGTGGTGACCCACTTTCTTAGTTAAGGACCACATTTAACCCCCTAAGGAAATCTTTTTTATTGTTATTTTTCGAAGTAAAATGTTTTTGTGTTTTTTCATTTTATATTTCAACTACAGTTGGCGTTCAATGTTCTTTGCCATCCGTTTTGGCTGTGCGGCGTAGCAGTTAGACCGTAACTGGGCTTCGAGAGGCAGGGCTTCTCCAATTCCCCTCTTTCCGTGAGCTCTCACCTCTGATGAGTCACCCCCACAGTGACGGTCCCCAGAGAAGCTGTTTTCCTGTCAGGCTGTGGTAAGTCAAAACCTGCTTCAGAGAATACAAAGTCACCAATCTGGGGGGCTTTAAAAAAAACCACGGCTTTGCATGGTTTTCGTTTACTGAAAAGAAAGAAAACCTCAAACTACTAAACCAGAGGTAACTTTTTTTTTTAAGTGTTCTACTTTGGGTATAAAGGAAGGATGGCAGACTCCACTTTTAACGATCACATTCAGAAGTTCTGGGCTTTTGACACTCCTTACATTTACTGGCTCCTAACTCGGCATCCTAAGGAAATGAATGGGTAACCTCTCTTCCCTAGGACCACGGTGACCTACAAACCCGTCTTTGGGAAATTTCAAAGGCGTGTTACTGGAGCTCAGATTTACAGGGATGAACGTGACATGTCAGTACAATGATCTAATGGCACATAACCCCGGGTCATCTCAGCATGTGGTACCACCCACTCTCTTCCTCTTTGCTCTGGTACCATTACCCGAAAGGGACCATAGACCAAAAAAAAAAAAAAAGTCCAGCAAACTTCTTGATGATTGGCGCCAAAAGAGGAAGAAAAGGGGGAGGAGCATTTGACCTTGAGGGCCAGAAAAAAACACACTAGCAGCCCAATAGGATGACGGCCTCTCTGGCTTTTCCCACAAAGCACCTGGCTGGGAACCCGACAGAAGAATTTTAAGAAGAGCAGGTGACATGGCTCAACCTGGACCTTGGGCTTTGTTCATTGATTTATTCAACAACTATTTCTTGAGCGCCTTCTACATGACAGTCTTGTCACCAGTGGCCTGGCAGTTCTTGTCACCAGTCTGCTAACTCCTGGGAGTACCAGGGACCAAATTGATTTATCTTGGTTTCCAATGCTATGGATTAGGGTGCATGATTTTTTTTCCCATCTGTAGCCTCAGACTCCCACTAGAAAATCTAGTCAAAGCTGGATTTGAGGTACATTCATGAAGCAACCCTATTAAAGACTCATTACTCTCGAAACATACCCATGTGGCCACAACGGAAAGACACTTGCCTTCTAATTAAGGTTATTCCGCCCACAAACATTTACTGAGCACCGAGTACACAATGTGGATTTGTAGCAAACAAGGCAGAAAAAGGTCTTGCATGGGGAACTTTCATCCTAGCAAGGAATTAAAAAATATTTTTAAAGTGGTCAAATAAATAATATAGCCACATTCCCAGCTAAGGAAGTAGGGTCTGTGTGTGTGAAGGCAACCTTCTGAGATGTTTGTCTTCAACAGGAAAACAAGAAAAGCAGCTGTTACTGGAAGAAGAAGGATGGTACAGAAAGGTTTGAGTTTTTTGTGTGTGTTTGTCTTTCAGTGACAGGGAATATGTTCCTTGAACATATGTACATCTGCTGGAGATGAGTTCACACACAGGGATAGTCTGAGGATGCAGAAGAGAGAAGAAAAATTTTAAACGGGCCAAGGAAGGGAGACAAAATGGGTCTAACTCACAAACAGAGAGGTGGCCCCCTTCCTCCACTGTATCAGATGGAAGAGGGGCCAGTCAGATGCAGGGGATTTGGGTTCTGGGTGTGGGAGGGAGGTTCCATGGTGGGGGCGGGGGTTGGTTTGCAAGAGGAAAAGGTAGGATGTCATTGCTTACCAGGGAACTGGAAAAAAAGTGCTGGGCCGTGTTCCATGCCCAGTTGAGATGTGTGGCCTCCAAGGTAAAGCAGTGGTTCTCAGCCAGGGGTGACTTTGTCTCCTCGTCCCAGCCCAGGGACATCGGCAAGGTCTGGAGACAGTTTTGGTTATCGGCGCAGGGGAGGGGAGAATGCCTCCAGCATCCAGTGGGCAGAGGGCAGGGATGCTGTTCAACACCCCACAACACACAGACAGAGCAGCGTCACAGTGAAGAATTATCCAGCTCAGTGTGTGATAGGATGTGTATGGACAGACCCTCCCTGGGAAGCCACAGAGGAGACAGTGATTCTCTTCGTGGGTAGAAATGGGGCCACAGGACAGGGTGAGAAAAGGACTTCTCTTCATCCTACAGTTGTGTGTAGCTTTTGAATTTCGTACAGCTCCATGTGTTACATATTCAAATCAAAGGACAGAAACACATTAGTGATGGGTAGACAACAGATGGGCTGACTGAAGCAGATGACTGAGTGAAAGTGAAAGGAAACCAGACAGTCTGTGTGACTTTTCTCTGGCACCTCCAGCTGCTCAGATGCCAATGTAGAGAGAACGGGATTTTTGCAGGAGGAATACAGTGAAGGAAGCAGGCAGAGTGTTGGGGGCTGAGGGTCTTTCCAAGGTAGTGATTATAATGACAGACGATGGCATCTGAGGCGGACAGAGAGAGGAGGGAAGCTAAAGAAGGAGCTGATGGACACGCAAGAGAACAGTAGAGTTCATGAATTAGAAATATCAGTATGCCTATAGAATGTTGGTGCTATTAAGCTGGAATGACAGGAGATGATTCTGTGAAAACAAGATGTCCAAAACGAAATTCCAACAGAGGTACGGTAATGTTGAACAATGACAAAGTCAAGGGGAAGGCCGTGGCAATGAGCGGCTGAAGACAGGAGAAGTCACTGTGAGTGATTAAGGTGAGAATTCGAGAAGCCGGGTATTGGGATGGATCCGCCAGAGCAATGCCTTCTACAGACAATGAAGCATCTCTCACAGAGCAGCTTATGAATAAGGGTATGTGCCCTTTTCTGACCTGCACAGTGATTGCCTAGTTAAGAAACGGAGAAGTGAAAATTCAAATTCAGGTTTCTTGGTCCAAAGTCTGTGCCTTTTCCACTGTGCCATGACCCTGCCCCCAGGAAAAGACAAGTGGGGAAGCTGGGCTGTAATATCAGCAATGGAAACTTCAGACAGTGGGAGACAGAGAGGGCGGAGAAGACGAGGGGGACAAGAGCCTGGAACAGTCCCTCTCACGCCAGTAAATTCTCCTGAAAGTGGCCTGAAATCATAATGAATAAAGAAGCCGTGGGAGAAAGTAATAATAAGAAAGAGAACCAAAATCTTTGTGATTTCCAAAAAGTACATTCATAATGTTATCTATATACTAAAATACATTTTTATTATAGATATTCTTTTCATTAAAAATGCACAAAAATGTATGTATATAAATATGGATTATATTATAGAAAAATAGCATCACTAGCTGACAAAGATTAGAGGCCTCTTGGAGCTGGTTGCCAAGAAGCATTCAAAAACTACACCGAATGTGCCCCATATTCTCCTAGCACATCCTTCACGATGTCCATGTTCTCTCTACTTAGGTAACTCTCCCAGCCTCACAAACACACACACACACACACACACACACACACACACACGCACGCACCCCTACAATTGCTCAGGAAATATACATGCTATATAGGGAATGGACTGAGACCCCCCAGAAATCTCCCTAGCTTCTCTGTCCACATCACCTGGTGGCCCAGGCTATGGCTTTGGAAGTAAAGGTGCTGCCATTGGGAAACAGGCCTTTCAGTATCTCGAGCTCATCACGCAAGCTGAGTCCCCTTTTCCATCCCTTGTCCACTCATCTCACACCATGTACCTGAAAGCCAGCCTCCCCTGAGGTAGAGAGTAGACCCACCCCAAGAGGTGAGTTAAAAGGTGTCCTTCACAATGCGTGCAAACACTCTGAAGCCAAGTGTAGAATGCTCTCGTAGCTGCCCTTCCCTCTTCTGCGTCTTGACATGCATCCCAGAGTGTTACGTTCATCCATCGTCTTTCTCACCCTGTCTGGCTCATGGACCTGCTAGACCCTGTGGTCTCAAGGCCCTCTTGGTTTTTGTCTTCTCACTTGACCTCAAGTGGGCTTAAGAAGACCTTCCTTCAAGGTCTTCTCGGTGCCTGTAATAAGGAACCATAACAGAGAAAATTCTCAAAGTGCTTTTCTTAGAGCTTATACAAGCCAAAAAATGTCTTAGATTCCTCAAAATTGACCAGAGAGAGCTCAGACACGTTAACGTATAAATGGTCGGCACTGGTGAGGTTGAAGACTGCGCCCAGGTAGCTGCTGCGGGCCCACATCTGGCCAGTAGTGCAGTAGTCCATCATCTTCTCCTCCATCAGCACCAGGTCCTGCGGATACTTCAAATTCCTCATGTAGACCTTGTGGTTCAGGGGCTGCTTCTTGCAGGACTGACCCCGGAAGTACACTTTGGAATACACAAAGTATAAGCCGGTATCATTGATCACAAGGCTTCCCTTCTTGTACTTCACCCCAGCGACCAGGGCGATCCCGTAGGTGTCTTCCCACTCCAGAGGGGCGGATCTTGAGTTGGGCTTGCCTGGAACCAAGTCGGAGCAGGGCTTTTAGCCAGAAACATTCATGTACCCAACAAACGAAGTTTCCCAGACAAAACTGAGGGCCCTCCCTTGAGCCAAAGTTTCTTGTTTTGTTTTGTTTTCCCCAAAATGACACAGCCCTCATAGAACTGGCCAAGGGGTCGGACTCGCCCATCACAAAATTCCCTCAACACCTTTATCAAATGGCCCGCTTTGATTTTATCATCCACACTCTCGGGACACACCAGGGGGCCGTAACATATGCCCCTAATCAATGGCAGTGAGAAACTGGTGAGGTGAGTTTCACTCCCTGGAACAAAGGTTCTGTGATCCCCAGAACTAGCACCCAAACAGTTAGGCGTCGGGGTCCTCCCCGAAGGGAAAAGCCGAGCCCAAGGAAGTCTACGGTTCTGAAATTGGCAAGGACCTCAGGGATCATCTGGCCCAACACCTCCCCTGCATCCCTCACTGGGGGCTAAAGCCCCCCTTCCCTTGGGTCCCCATAGTATTCCGCACACTCCTGAAGCAGAGAACGCTCCCCCACACTGAAGAGATGACTTGTGAGTTCCTTTCCTGATTGGTGTTCAAGCATCTCAGGAACTCAGGAAGGCAGGAACTCTGTGTTATTTATCTCCATGACCCCAGGCTTGGCACACACCCAGACGTGCTCTGTCAGTGTCTGTTGGTCCAAACCAGATCATGCTACCGCTTCTTCCTAAGTAATCCCAGGGATGGCGGCATGGTACTGCCTGGGACCCTCAGCCACTTCTCAGATGTGTGCGCACGACCCATGGGGAAGGCCCCTACCACACCGCTGTCGATCACGTCACTCCATGGCGCCGGATGCAGAAAGTCCACCAGTGCTGGACTGGGCCTCCCCTCCCATTAACTGCGCTCCCAGAACACAGCTGTGGCAACCCCAGCGGCTCTGCCTCCTGCAACCCGCGCCTTATGGATACGGACCTGTCAAATGGGCCACTTTCCTCTGCTCCCTTTTCTCCGAGGGCGGCTCCGGGTGTCCTGTATCATAGAGAGAGAAAAGACAGAAGTAGACATGAGATACTATTCTTTCGGTGGAACTCGAAACAGGATAGTTAAATAAAAGAAAAAAATTTAAAGGCATAAATGGCAATAGTCTTAACATACACGAATCATGCAAGTCCACACTGTGGAACTCACAGCCTCTGTGTTTCAGACAGAGAGAGGTAAAAAAAAAAAACCCAAAGCAAATTCAGATGGATGGAGGCATACATTATAATGTTACAATCAAACCACATTCATTAATAATTGCATTGATGAATCCAGAGCTGTGGTATCAGTGACTGCATTTAGAATGTGCCACAACCCTTTTGCGCGGAGACCACTGCCCCGCCTCATAGGGCCCCCTGTCTAAGATGACCAGCTACTCAGAGTCAGTGTGGGGTTGCTACTCGGGAGCCCTGACTCTTTCCACTCTGGCCTCGCTGTCCCCAGGACTCGGTGGGCCAGAGGCCAAAGTGGACAGCAGTCCCACCTACTCCTGGCTGGTAGGTCTTCCCCCGGGGACATTCTCCAACCTGCCCCAAATTAGTTGTCCTCAGGGTCTACCGCCTCGAAAGGTTTCACTGAATTGAACATGGGATTGTGTCCATTTCCCCCAGCACATGCGCTGCTCCCCAGCTTCGGTGCCTTTGCTCATGCTGTTCCTTCTGCCTGGAATGCCCTTCCCGACAGAACTCTGGGTCCAGTTCCTATCAACCCTATAAATACCCTCAGAAAGACCCATTTCTTTGGGATACCCTCCCAAGCCTTTTTAATCAGACGTGATTTTGCCCTCCTTTGAAACCCAAAGTCACTCTGTCTTCGCCTCTCTTCTCTGCCTGGACTCTGCTTTTCTGGAAAAGCTGTGTAACTCGCCTGCCTATCTCAAATCAATGGTAAACTCCTTCCTGCGGCTTCAGCCCACCAGGGCATTTAGCGCAGTTTTTAACACAGGGCGTGTGACCAGTAAACGTTCCCCAAATTAAATCGAAGGAGTCGAAATGAACAGTAGCTCTCAAGACAGAAGCTACTTTCTCTGACTTCAAACACTGAACGAAACAGATTAACCACTTAGCTAATGACATGTGCGAAGGCTCATTCAAGAAAGATTCTTAGAAAGGTGCCTCGGAATGCCCGGGCCCACTGAGGACGTTCCCTGAGCCCACGCTGCCCCTGTAGCTGCCCGAGATCGCCCCCCACGGACAGGAAAGGCCGAGTGAGGCTCGCCTGCGTTCCAACGCCCCAGGCCGCCTGTGCGGCTGCCCTGGCAGCAAGCCAGGCTCTGACAGGAAGCAGTGCGCACCCCGCACCCTGCAGAGAGCCTAGTGCCGCATCCACGTGTCTGCGGGGTAAGTACTGGAATGAAGAAACTAACAGCACACCCTGAACTTTGGTGAGGCCCCGGGATTTTGGCACACGCCATTGCAGGGCCGAAATGCTTTTCCTACCTCTCACCCCTTCTAGACACACACACACACACACACACACCACACCACACACACAGCAGCTCCTGCAGGGGACTTCCCAAACCGCTCTATCTTAGGTACACTTAGTGCACTTTGAAATGCAGCGATCTGTTGGCTTGCTTTTGTTTAGCTCCTCCAGCTTGCTTAAAGCTCAGTGAGGGGAGGCCCCCTGTCTCTCTTGTTCTCAGGGGTCACCCCCAACCAAACCCCCAGCCTGGCACAAAGGAAGCACCCCCAAGAACACTTGTGAATGAATAAAAGACCTAGTGAGCTAACTGTGGAAAAACAGAAAGTGAAAAAGTACATGAGAACGTTTAAATAGTATCTCCCAGAGAAAATCACTGCGATCATGTTAAAATGTAAATTCTTCCAGGCCTTTGCTAAGAACAGAAAGATAGAGGGGTATGCGTATATGCATGGAGTCAATATTAAAGTAACTTGTCCTTGTACCTAGCACTACAGGACACACAGTCCCCATGGCACCAGGCATCCTTCTAATACATGGTTTTTTAGTTGTTGCTTATTATGCTCCAGTTGAATACACCATGGTGTATTCAACTAATCTTATTAAGAGGCATTTAAGTTTCTTCTGAATTGCTTATTGTAATAGCCTTATAAGAAATGATGAACATCCTTACATATACATTTTCAAGCACATCTCTAATTATTTTGTAAAGATAAATTCTTTGTGATAAGATTACAAGGTAAATGAACAGTTTTAACCTCTCGATATGTCTCCAAACTGCCCTTCAGGAAAAGTATGCTAGTTTATAGGCTCCCTGTCAGCTGGTGTTTCAGCAGGTCCTTTTCTCTTACCTTTTTGCCAATCTGGGTTTTTTGTTTGTTTTAATCTTTACTAAATTGATTGATGCAAATGGGTCTCCCTTATTTTAATTTTCACCTCTTATCTTATTAGTGAAGTTGCTGACTTGATTTTCCTGTGATAACACACCACTGTTGGGTCCGTCTGGGTTGATCTGGAGACCACTGCTTTGTGGGGTTGGTAGACCTGACTCATCCTTTCTTAACTTTTCGTCACCAAAAGGACTCCAGAGAGTGGGTGAAGGATGAGTAATTAGGTCCCCTGGCTCACCAGCCTCATTCCACTGATTTTCAAATCTATTTTAATCTAGAAGTCTTCCAGAGGCTTTATTTTTTGAGCAAACATTTCTACTCCGCTTGTGTACATCCGGACTCTCTGACGCTCAGGGACTTGGACCCAGAACTGGGGGCCAGAGCAGCCTCAGGGGGGCTCCAACCTGCAAGGGCAGCAGGGTGACTTGGACCCCCTGAGTTGGCACATCCTGACAAACAGGGTCCCCTCGCGGGGTGGCCAGTGCTGCCTTCTGTTTTCTTCCCAATTTCTAGGAAGACTTGCTAACTGCCTTTGCAGAGGCCTCTGGCTTGTTGTCATCTTTCTTGCTCACTCCATAATCCTCACAGAGACAGGGCAGTTGCCTGACTTTAAGAAACATCAGTCCCTGACCCAGAAAGCCCCAGGGGGCCACTTCGATGGTTTTGGGAATGTCACCTAATCTGACTGGGGTTTCATCCATCTCCTGTAAAATGAAGTGACTGGACCAGATGCTGTCTGAGCTCCCTTCCGACTCACACCAGATCTCAAGTTCAATGACCCCTGGCTCCACGAGAGCCGGCACATCCAAAATCTAGCTGCCTGCAGTTTCCAAAATTCTGTCCTGAAATGTCATGAGGCCAGTGTTCAACATTCTCCTCTTCCTCCTGCCCTGGATCTCAGGCCAAGGATTTTCCTGCATCACTGAAGGTAGCTGCTGTGTGGGGCAAGCTGGACCACCTTTTGAACGGTGGCTGAAGTCTTCCCCCCAGCTTTTCTAACGACTGCCAAAGAACCATCCTACTGTGGACTTCCCACTTCTGAAAAGCTTAAACATAGCCTAGGAAATATGTTTTAAATGAAGCTTGAGTCTTGAGTGATCCCTTAGAGAGGTGAAAGAGGAGAAGAGCTTTTCTAGAAACCCCTCTCTCTGCCCTCACCTCCCCAGGGATGCACAGCCATCGCCCTGTGTAGGGGACCCCGGAGGCCGGAAGAAGGAGTCTGACTGGGGGCCAGCTGCTCAGGGGACAAAGGCCCAGGATTGTAGAGGTATGTGTCTCTTCCCAAAGCCAAGTGGAAATCATGGGGCATCGTGTGCAGTACTCAGACACGCTGATTTTGAACAATTAAATTTACTTCCTAGCTGAGGGCAGCTCGAGAAGGACCAGAGATGCAGAACCAGCCGGGATCCCTATTGTAGAGAAAGGTGTCCGAGAACAGATGCTATTCAGGCCATGCCAGTGACCTGGTCCAGAGCTCTGAGGACCATCTTTGGAAACTCAATGTACATGCATAAAGGGACTCACCTATTTGCTTCTCCAAAGATGATTCTACATGCCTTTGGCTGGAAGACTGGCAACAAGAGAAAAAAAGTTGTATAACAAATTTAAAGTTATCTAAGCAAAGGAGATAATCTTGTCAAATGAACCAGGTCCTGGGAAGGAATCTCGATCCCTCACAAGTTCTCCTAACTCTGACTTGGGCCAAACATCTGAGTCTCCTCACGCCTCAGTTTTGTGATTTGGAATACTTCCAATAGTTTGAAGTCTTCTCTAAAAATAGGTTCGTTTGGCCATTTGCACAAATTCACTTCTCAGCGAGACCCAAGTTCCTTTCTTGCTTGAGTCCCATAGGACGTGGTTCACCAGGCTGGCTTGCCAGCCCAGGAAGGAAGAAGGTAGCTAGCTGCCGGTCCGACTCTGGCCCTGAGCCCTTCAGGACAGGAAATATCCCTTTAACTCATGTGAGCCTGCAGGTCTCTGTCTGTAGACAGGGTGACTAGAACAATCCATTTCTAGGACAGGAATAATGGATTGAAAAGCCCTTTGCAAGCAAGACCACAGTCCCTGGGGACCAGGATAGACTGACACCCGCCACCGCGCAGAGCTGTCTCACACCCAGCACTGGGGACACGGCGACCACAGGGCAGCTCACCTCTCTGAGCTCTGCCAGCTCCTTCTGCAGGTGGAACAGCTGAAACATCCCCAGCCCCACAGCAACCAAGGCCACCAGAATCATGAAAAACATCACCAGGAGACACCGGCCTGAGTCGTGGTCCCTTCTCTTCTTCAGAGGTGGCGGTGGCAGGGGAGGCAGCAGTTGTGACGGTGGCGGCGGCGGTGGTGGTGGCCTCCTCTGACCAGGCCTTCCAGGCACTGAGGAGGGACAGGGGAGGACCGTCCCTGGAGGGCCCCAGGGTGGGGGGGTGCTGCTGTCCACCCAGTAGATCTGGGGGTACGGGTAGTTCAGGGTCTGCTGCATGGCAGCCGGAGACTCGGCCGCCCCCCGGCAAAGGGGGCTCCTCCTTCTCGGCCCCGTGGAGTCCCAGGTGGCACAGAGACGACGCACTGCTCGAGGGGAGGGAAGCGGGCTCCTCCTTTATACGGTTTCCATGGCTGAGGGAAACACCTCACTTTTGTTCTCTCTTTCTGTTTCTCTGAGAGACGCCCACTCACTTTGCATCTGAAGCTGAGAAGCCTCAAGAAGCTCGGCACAAACCCCGGGAAGTTTCCACCCACAATTTTCTGATGAAAGCCTTCGAAGCCCCAGTGGCCGTCATGCGCTCTGAGAGCTGGCGGGGAGGCCCCGTGCACAGGTCTCGCCAGGCAGGTAGGGTCAGGGCCAGTCCCGAGGCTTCAGCCACCGCCCAGCAACAGTGCGGGGCGGGGAGGAATGGCCATGGGGCACACTGAGGCACTGAGGGAGAAGATCGTGGACTTGTGGCTGGAAGTCCATGATCATTGGACTTCCACATTGTTTTTTTTTTCTTTTTCTTTTTTTTTTTTTGCATGAAGGAGCTGTTCCTGCTATCATCTCTTCCCCCCACAAAGCACTATGTACCCCAACCTGGCAAAACCCCACAATATGCAGGTTAAACACCAGCCCACCCAGTCTGTGGCGATGAGCTCAGAGGGTGCACACCGGTGGCCCGTGGGCCTTAGGGACCCCACAGACCTGTTTTCTTTGGACCTCACATTTGTTCTTTTCCTTGGTCGTCCCTTATTAAAATTGGGATACTTTATATTAAAATATACGTGTTGCTCTTCTGCTTTTGAACATGAGAACATTGGACATGGTCGAGGCCATGTGTGCAAACGTAGGCAGCGGACCTGGGCAGCAGCTGCCCCCACAGATAAGACAGGCGCCCCAGGCTGCCCGTCAGCATGCCCCCCGCCACCCCAGGCATGGCCAACGCCAGCCTGGTCCCCGGAGGCACTTCCGTTTGCAGCCCCAGTTATGGCTGCCGGGTGAAGTGCAGAGTGCCCAGTCACACTTGAATTTCAGGTCAACAATAAATAATTTTTAGGGTAACTAGATCCCATATATTACATGGAATGTACTAAAAAAAGTTATTTGTTGTTTATGTGAAGTTCAGAGTTAACTGTCATCCTATTCGCTTGTTTATTTGTTTGTTTGTTATTAAAGACGGCAACTCTACCTGGACCGGCCTCACCCTTCCCTCTGGCCTCGGACACGGTGTACACGCCAGCGGCTTCCAGGCGCTCAGCTCCAGTCACCGCCGTTCGACCGTAATCCACGTGAACCTCCCCAAACCCGTCTGTCCCATGTGACTGGAGCACTCTCCCTTCCCAGCATCATTAGCTTCTGCATCACACTTCGGCGTTTCCATGACACCAAACCTGCATCCCTGCCACGCTGTGTCCATCCTGTCCCCTCCCAGTACAACCTGCTGCACCAGAGTCACTCTCCCTGGTGGCGACTTCAACCCCCCTCTCCGCTTCTCCCCCAACACTGGACTAGTCAGCCAGGACTCTGATTTTTCCTGAGACGGGCTTCCCACACCAGACCCTCTCCACGCCCATCCTTCCTGGCGCTCCTGCCTTGGGTCAGACTTGGAGTTGCCTCTCTCCGCAGACATCGCAATGGCTCCTGAACTGGTGTCTCTGCCACCAGCTGCTCCCCAGCCCACGTCTCCCTGCAAAATGCTGCAAGAACAGTGTTTGGAAAAACAGACTCGCCCTTCCGTTGGGGGGTTTGATTCCAGGAGTTGTCCAGTCCTTTCACGTGAGACACGAGCTTCTTCCCAGTGACAGGCCAACCGCTGGCTGTCCCCTGCTGCTGCCTTCCTGGCCCTTCTGCCCACAGCCCACCCTCCACTCAGGAAACAGGGACACGGCTGAGACCAGCCAGATGGCACAATGTTCTCACTATACTTGAGAGTTGGGCGGAGTTGATGTACTTTTGAATTCACGTACGGCTTTATTCACAGTTAAGAAAAGTGGTAAGTTTAAAGTTACTGAGTAATAGTCAGGAAATATAATTTTAAGAATTCCACCCTAGGCACAACAACAACAAAAAACCCTTGAAGTTTCCTCAAATAACTGTAACAAAAATTACACAGAAGCACATTTTTTAAATGATTAAAAATATTTTTTTATACACAGCAAAGATGCAGTCACATGGGAGACGATCCCGTCATCCTGGATGGAGAGGACAGCAAGAGCATGGGGCGTGATGGCCCCGGGGAGCGTGGCCTGGAGTGTCAGCGCCGGGGTTCAAACGCCAGCTCCTCCACTCCTTCGCTACAGAACCAGTCGCTTTCCCTCCTCCAAGCCCAGTTTTCTCATCTATAAAAATGTGCATGATTATAACGGTCCCCGTTTCAGAAGGCACTGTGAGAACTGAACACGTAAAAGCATTCAAAAACACTTACGACAGCCCCAAACGAAGGAGGCTCTGAGCAAATGTAGATGTTGTTGTTATAACAGTAAGCGAATCTTCCCACCTACGCTTCATTGATAGTCCACTGGCCTCCTTCCAGTCAGGACAAAAGAAGGTGGAGCCGGAGAGGACTTGCAGAGAAGCGCACGGGTCAATGCCTGATGTCCAGAGTCCACCGGTGGACTGACGGACTGACCGGTGGACCACATCATTTCAGGCTAAGATACCCGCCCTGTGCTTCTCTGCCTCAAACATCCACAGAAGCTTCCAGAATTCTTCAGTAACAATTATGCTGTATTTTCACCTCTCTGTCGGTCCTGCTTCTTCTTTTCATTCCTTCTGCGATTTATCTAGAATCCTAATATTGGCCCCTAACCCATCCAGGGCCCTCCAATCACAGGTTGACTCCGAGCTTAAACTGCGGGGTCCCTCTGTGATAACGCACCAAACATCTCGGGGCAGCAAAGTCACGGGAACAGAAACATCCCCTGCCAACAGCAACAGGACCCATCACGGTGTGGGGTGCTGTCAGTACCTTGTCAATTAGCAGAGACCACCTTTTCAAAGTGGATCTTAGCTCTGTGGTTCCTGAAGAAATATAGGTGTTTGCCTTTGAGAAAGGCCGGGATCTTGGTAAGTCAAAGAGCCAGCGGGCTGGCAGCTCCCAAGGCTGGAAAGACCCTCTTGGACTGAGGAGCAGCTCCAATGCCCCCCCCCCCACGCCCTCCTGCCTGCATCGGCACATCCACAAGATTCAGAGCTGGAGATTTCTTCTAGGAGAAGGGGTGCAGGGGTACGGCTGTCCATCATAGAAAGTTACCAGGATGCGGGGGAGCCTAGGTAGCCAAAACTTAAGGGGATGACCGCATCAGAGAACTTTCTTCACGCAAAGTTGTTAGGACTGTTTAAGTACCTCCCTCATTAGGTGACAATTCAAATGACCTCTCATTGTGGTCCATCTGGCAGTGCCATTCCCTTCAGAAACTGTCCTGCTTGGCAATAATGGGGTGGGACACAGGGAGCCAGCCACTGGTGACCTACAGAGGGGAGCGAAGACACTCCTAGCCAGAGTCTGTTTATTCCAAAGCATTTGCCCGCATTTTTAACTCCACCAGGTACCTCCAGGCTGCAGTGTGAGCTGCCGAACGTATGGACGCCAACACCCCCCACCCAGGACTGTCTTATTCCCTGTCTTCCTCTCTGCTGGGTACCATCCGGCTCTCCAATTTCTTCCAAGCAGTCTGCCTAGGAAGTCACGTCTTACCTATTCATTTTCTTCTTTCTGATTTCCCGAGAGGTTGGACATCCTGTCCTGTGCTTGTCGGACACTCACGTTCTCCCTTTCAAGTACGTCTCTTGTTCCCATGCCATGCCCACGTTTCATAGGGTTTCCTTCACGCTGATTGGCAGGATCGCCTTGTGCCAGATGTCAATCCGTCATGGCGCTGAGCCGTGTAAACATCTCCTCCCACAGATTCCACACACAGGCTTCATCCTCTGGGGCTCACCTTCACGAAGAAAGACTCCATCTCCGTCCTTCTCCACAGATGACCCAGTGACCCAACACAAGGCACCTTCCCCCAGGGAATGACGGTGGTGTATCGGTCACATATCAACTTTTTACGTATAGTGGAGTCTTTGCTAGGCTCTTGTTTCCTTGTCATTGATGTATTTCTGTATTCTGGTACTGAGGTCACACAGTCTCCACGATGATGCCTTTGTACAACGTCTCAAGAGGTAGCCACGGCAAAGGCCTCCTGCCTCATTCTTCTTTTCCAAAACTGACTTGGCTACTTGAGTATGTGTAGCCTCCCATGAATGTTTTAGGGGAAATATACTATCATATTCCTAAAATGTTCTAGGGCGCTGTTCACTGTAATTGTACCAATTTGGGGGGCTGTTATCTTTACAATGTTTTTTCCCCTGACAACCCTTTTTCACTTCTTCTTCATGACCATTAAAAGTTTTCTGCGAGATAGTCTCACACATTCGTTCTTAGGTTAATTACTTGACACTTTGTGATTTTGTTGTGATTATACGGGACGTCCTGTTTTCTGTGGTATTTTTAGTTTCTGGGGGAGGCAGCTTCCCAGATGACTCCAGTGACCCCCTGCCTCCTGGGATTCAGGCCCTTTTATAATTCCCTCCCCGAGTCTGGGCAGGACTCACTTCTAACTAACAGGCAGCAGAAGAGATGGGGTAGCCCTTCTGAGGTTAAGTTATAAAAAGACTGCCGTTTCCAGAGCACAGGCGGCTGACTTCTCGAACTACCCTTACCTGGTGGGAAGAGAGAGGGGAAGCGGGCTCTCTTGTGAGCCTTATAAGGATACAAACCCCACTCATGAGGACTTCACCTCTGTGGCTTTATCATATCCTAATTATTTCCCAAGCCAATTCCAGGTTCCTGACTCACGGAAATTATAAGAGAATAAATAAATGTTATCTTCAACCATTACATTTTGAGCTCATTTGTAAGGCAGTAACAGATCACTAACACGGAAGACTACTACAGCAGGTTGAGATAAATGCTCTTTATTTTGTAATAATCTAGAAACTTGCAAACTTGTGGAAGTCTCTTTTTACTTCAGATATATATGGATATATATTATCGATGGGGGAAATGACCATTTTTTGATCTTCCCTTCCAATCCTCATACTTCCTCTTTCTTCCCTTTGTGTCTTCTCCCAAACCTCAAAAACTGTACCTAAGTGTAACTGTCACTGTGGGCACCTAAAATTTCTCTGGACAAGCACGAGGCTTTTTCTCAGGGTTTGGTCTTTATACGTCGCTTCCACCCACAGAGAGGTTTCCCCGGGTAACTCATCAGGATACGTGGATCCTGGATTCCATCAGGATCCCATCAGCAAACAGGTGGGACACTCGAACCCAGGCAGCCCGAGGAGGGCTGACAAAGAGGAACTGTTTACAAGCACGTAGGTAGGGCGTAAGGGAACCCAGAAGGGTCGTGCCATGCTCTTGAACTAGAAGGAACAGGGTTGCCG